TAAAAACTTGCATATATTAACTTGAAATTTCATACTTAATAAACTATTTCAAAGTGAGGCGAAGTATAAGTATTTGGAATAACAAAAACAAATTAAAATCATATTTGTATTTAAATTAAATACTAAGAAGGATTTGATGTTTTCACGGTGGTGAGTCTGAACATCTACCAGACTACACGGTGCAACAACCACAGGACAGCCATCTTCAAATTAAATACTGATTAAATTTGAGAGATGCTCGGTGCTATGCAGTTCAAAATCTTTAGTCTTCCCATGTCCCATTGATAAACCTAATAATCAGAAAACACAATATACAAGTAATTGAAATGAATTCCCTTTTCAACAGGAAAGGAACACAACTTCAGAAAATACAATGAATCAACTGTTACTAATTTTGGTGTGCAGTATGACTATGGAAGTATAATGCACTACAGTGCATACGCTTTTTCGAAGAATGGGAATCCCACAATAACACCTCTTGTGAGTATGAGTGTAGTAGACCTGATATATGTCATTTTACTAATATCGTTGTCATATTGTAATATATAATTATCAACCTTCTTAGTTTCATTTCAGCTAAGTGTAGGTTAAGTTAGTTTTGAATATTTGAAAATTGTGACTTTTTCAAAATGTGGGACAAATTTATTTTTTGGGGAAGAACAGATTTTTATACCTCTACACACTACAAAGAATGCAAGAGAATATTTTTTGCATTCCGGTATGGAATACATTTTCCAAGCTTGTTTACACAACATGAATTACTGGGGCCATCAACAATAGGACCAGACTCATTGTTGTAACTCGTGCGACAGTGTTATCACATCGGTACAAGAGTGACTTGGAGAAAATGACTTTGGATCGTATTAGTACAACAATATCCTTTGAATAAAAATTTCCTTGGATATTATCCAAGGTAATTTTTATTCAATTGACTCTTCACCATCGTCAAGAAGTTTTAGATTTGACAACAATATCCTATTTAATGTGGCGTGAAGAATACCTTTGGAATGGCAGTGTACTACATAGAGTACACCTCTTAAATCTTGTTTCCTTTGGTATGGTATGTAAGCTTTTGTGGCTCTGACTTTGATATTGTAATGAGTTATTACACTGTTTTGCACAGGAAAATGGAACCATGATTGGTCAGCGAGAGGGACTTAGTGAGAAGGACATAAAGAAGATTAGAACGATGTATGGGTGTTTCAAGTGTGGCGATGAAGAGAATTGTGGAGAGGAGGGTGAAGATAAATCTGATGGAGAATAAGAGGAAGAGTATTTGATGTTACTTCCAAGAATGAAATATTTTAATAGGCTGTAAGATGTTCAGAAGCTTATGGCATTTATACAAAGAGAACTGATTATTAAATATTTTGGACAAGAACCTGGATTTAAAAGACCACATCCTTGGCAGACTTTACTTACGCAAATTATAATAAACACCATACATGTTGTTTGGTAGGTTTTTAATGACCCCAAGGTTAGTCTATAATGACTTGCTGGCCTCTGCTGACCCTAGGTAAGTCTGAGTTGGGGTACCCATAGGGCAAATGTCATTACCCCAAGTGATAGAAACATTGGAACCCAGTTATAAGATTGTGTTTGTTCAAGCAAGCTTGTTTGCCATGTAGCTCAGCCTACAGCAAGGTGAGTTGCTTATAAAAAATAATTTTGTTTGTTTTTCAAGTTCTGTATTGTTTTTACTGTTATTGTGGCCTGCCACTATGAGTCTGATTTTTCTAGTTTGCTCTTTAGCAATCCAATATTAGTAGTGGCACCATACTGCCATGCAGTTGGTACACACATTGAAAGTAGCAGTCTGCAGAACCAAATAAGTCACAGCTATAACTTACACACAAAAGAATGGCCTCCAAAGTCCCAAATATTGAGGTGAGATGAAGTGAAACAAATGCAGCTCCAAATACAAACTAACTTGCACAATATCAATTAATTAAGATGTACACCAATAGATTGTTATTAACCCAGGAAACTGCTAGAAACTGAAACAAAATTTTGAGAGGCAGCTGAGACCAAATTTGTACATATATACTGGATGGGAACCATGACAAAAATCAACTGCTTCTTTGGTGGCCTGTGCTAGGGGAGAGAGAAGTGGATGGGAACCATGACAAAAATCAACTTCCTTGGCGGCCTGTGCTAGGGGAGAGAGAAAAAGGTGGAAGACAAGAGGATATGTGTGAATGAACTGGAGAGTTGAGAGAATCAAATTTCTTATTAAATAAGTTCTTCAGAATAACACCGAGAAATGTCATTCCTTAGGCTATAGCTCAAAGTCAATAATTTCTAAGGAAAATATGTGCTGAAAATTGACTTCTTAAGTTTGCCTTTGTGATCTGTGATGGGGAAGTGCCCCCATAAAAGAAGCTTCGCATATCAAACTGGCTAATTTTGATGGAGTCATATTGATTGAAGGCCATGCCATAGCTCAGAATGCCAGCTTCTCACAAAGGAGATCCAGTTGCCTTCAACAGAGATTCACGGTAGACAAAATTGCATGAGATCATGTTTTTCTCCAAGTTCTTTGGCTTTGCCCTGCTTATTGCCATTCCACCATTACTGCATACTCATCTATCACTACCCCATGAAGTGTGTTGTAGCACGCAGCAAGCAGATCTGTATCATAATCTTGTTACCCGGTTAAGGGGCTTAATTTCTAACCCAGCACTTGGCTGGTCTTAGAGTAGAGGTAGCTTGTTTTTGACATTGGTTGAGAAATGAAACATGTTTTACTAGTTATACCTTGGATGAACAAGTGATGATGTTAACATATTTGCATGTGTCTTTTGCACAGTGTCCATTCATTGCATGTCATGTTGTAAATATGTTTGAGCCCATCTGGCAGTTATCTTTTAACAGTCAAAGTGCTAGGACGTCTTTTTCACAAGTGGAACAAGTGTTCATTGCCCTACACTATCTGCCATCTCATTCTCATCTTACCAGAATGAGTTTAGGGAAATATTTCCTGATTTTCTTGTGCCAAAAACATCAACAGTATCTAGTTTGGTGAACCATTTCCTTAACACAGGAACTCTTCACCGAGATCAAACATGAAGAAATAAGTGAATGCATGTATCACTGAACGTGACTGCGCAACAACCAACCCTTTGCGCGCAAGTACAAACCAGCGGTGACTTGCTTTCCGACCAAGGAGTATGACGGACGTAGACAATGTCAATGACTGGTATCTCTCTTGTTCGTGCATGCGCATTGGTTGGTTCAGCAATTTTTATGGTCTTCGAAATGGTTGATATTATGGCATATATGGACCCAGTTCCAAGTCTGGTCCTACCTTATGCTAGTTCTAGTTACCATGCATAGTACAGTAGTGCTGACATCTAGTAATCGCAAGTCCGTTTAATATCACAGTCGCGGAGTAATATGAACATTTTTATTGCTAACTTCAAATACAAGTATAAAATTATAACATTATAAGAAAAATATTGTTACCTATGTTATTACAAATTAAATGTATGATTGTGTTTATGGTCGCCTTTCTAAGTGAAAATAATTTAGAAAAAAATACTTAATTTTGGACTATGTTTTAAGGCGCAGGGGAAATGTCTGGTACGTTTGTGAGTTGACAACATGTCGTGTGTAGTTGACCAGTTGTAAAAGACTGGTCTGGGATGTGTTGATGGTGTCTAAACTCTTTACTGATTGGAACTTGCATATAATTTAACTTTTTAATAGACGTTAGGAGTTTGTATAAATATTGGGATTTCATGTAGCTATGACGTCTATGCTTCCGTTTACACCTCCGATCGTAAAACGACTTTTGGGGTGGAAGAAAGGTGAAGGGGAGGATAAGTGGAGTGAAAAGGCTGTAAAAAGTTTAGTGAAGAAACTGAAAAAAACCGGTGGTCTAGACGAATTAGAAAAAGCGATTACAACACAGGACCCTACTACTAAGTGCATTACAATACCAAGGTTGGTATATACGTTTTGTTTTTTAGGGATTGAGTCGGTATTTGCGGCGGCGGTGGTGGTGGTGGTGGTGATAACAGCAATAGTTGTATGGCATTAGTGGTGCGGTGGTGTTGCTAGTTAGATATACGTAGGCTGTCATACATGCACTTTCCCATTTAATTTGTTATGAAATTTTGTAATCTGACGTCCAAGATCGTCTTGATGCGTTTTGTAGGATGCCTGTGTCTGAATGAATGACCTTGACATTTGGAATAATGTCTAATTCTGAATCTTCTGGGAACAGAAATTAAACACTGAATTACACAACAGTTTTCAGTATTTTATTTCCTAAGTTGTTCTTGAAGCTGTATGTGACATTGATTTGTTAAATTATGTAAATGTGGTAGTATCTAAAATAACTTCTGTAATAATGCAGAATTCAAACTCTTCATTATTGTTGTAGGTTTTAGCTTATAGTGACATTTTGCAACTTTGTGATTCAGATATTTGCCTGTGAGTTCAATTTAGAAGTTTCATGCATTTATCACAATGAATCAAATAATTTTATTATAGCAGTGAAATGTCTCAAACATAGTATTTATACAGGTTGAAGTAAGCAATATATTTACCTTCAGCAGAACAGTTATTTACAAGATTATACCTCACTGCAATGATATTTGTATTTTTTTGTCCATTTTGTAAATTATAATATTGTAATGGATTTGGTGGTTACAGTGTGGTGAGTTCTTTTAAAATGGGAGATGGATGTATTCCACACACTAACATAGTTTATTATTTCCTTCCATAATGTTCTGTTGGCTTTTAAATCAGTCTTGATTATGGATGGTCTAGGCTTCACATTGGTTATAATCGTTATTTTCGCTGAAGTACACATACAATAGTCTGCTTCTGTGTCCCGTTCACAATTCAGCATGCCACTCGTACTCGCAGCTCTTTAGACATGTAGTTGATGACTGATTTTCTTGAACAAAACACTGGATTGAAAGGGTGCTGGGATATTCCGCTGATAGCAAGCTTAATGAAATGGCTTGTTTCATGTACCTCATTCTGCAGCGGGTAGGCAGTTAACAGCTGGCTGATGTAATCATGAGCCACTGTCATGAGTGTTTGTGACTGCTCCTTTCCTACATAAGGTTACTTGTCTTGAGTAGCCCCTAGATGTGGCAGCAGTCTTTCCAGGTATACCACTGTCATCTCAGCCCTGTGTTGATCTGGGTGATCACTGTCTATTAATGGACCTTCATCTGGTCACTTACAATCTTCAGATGTTAGCAGGTGTAGTAATGAACGCCATGTAGCTGTACCGGTCACACTGGCTGTGTGCTGTGATCACTTGGACACTGTGATCGTGAGTTTGAATCTCACTCAAGGCATGGATATTTTCCACGACTTTCTGTGTTGTGCTGTCCTGTACAGATAGAGGCCTTGAGACAGACTGATCCAAGGAGGCCTACCAAATGTTTAAAAATGATTTAAAAACCTCACATGTGTGAGGAGGCTGGGGTCCTTCAAGGATTGTATGATTTTAGACCATAACTAGTTGACTCAAGTTATAAATACTGAAAACAGTCAAATCGAAGGAATTTGATAATTACTAGAATGAAAACTGCAATGAAGTTGGATTCATTGTGTTATTTAACAGGTTTTGTTACAGCCATTTATAAATTATCCTAATTATTTTCAGCCATAAAGGTGAGTGGATAATTTTATTTAGTGATATTGTTCTTGTTTGTTTGATGTACTTCACAATACAGTGACGATGTATATCGTCCACATCACATCATCTACTGTCAGATGTCTTTCAGTATTTGCATTCTATTTACATGTACTATAGTGATATGGGATATAAATTAAATTAGCCCAACCCACAACAGATTTGGTTTTGTTTGAAAACTATAAAAAGCATGCCCAAGTAAGAAAAAGGTAATTTTGTCTTTAACCCCTTAAAGCCTATTGGTAATTATAATCCCACCTACTTCAGCAATTAGTAACTCTTAATTTTGTATTTGTGTGTTTTATGTGATTCTCACTGCAAATGTATAATTTCTTTAAACATCATTAATAAATTGGTCTTTATAATTGTGAAGTGTTGTGTTTGCTTTGTGGTGTAGACTAACTAAATCCTTAAGTATTAATTGGACAAGCTTCAACTTCAAAGGATTGAATGTTACTAGCTTAGTGACTGAAATTGTCATTAAGTAGTGTATGTAACTTCATCAGAACGTCAAGTGAACAAACGAGACAGAAGTAACCAGTTACCATATTGTAAAGTAGTGATTTCAAAATTACAAGAAATTTAAGTTATCAGTTTTAACCTGATTTTATTTTGTAATCTTATTTTTATTCATGGGAATGTAATCTGACTTCTAACAAAAGAAATCCTTCCACAAACTCTGTAATATCACTTTTAGATGTATACATATTGTTCTGTTGATTGGTAATTTTTTCTGAAACAAGGAGTTTTCCTCCAATAAGTCAGTGTTATGGAATGTTTTAAATGTAATTTTTGGCACAGTTTTCTATTATTTTATGACGCTATAAAACTTCATCTTTTGGGGATGAGTTGTGTTGATTTGCAGATCGGGAATTAGGAGGGAAGATTATGAAAAAGTTTTAGTGACCACATGGTTAGGCAAACAGGGGACAGAAAGAGGTTTTGGTAGCCATGTGGTTAGGAGAATGGTGATGGGGAAAAGGGTTTTGAAGACTACATGGTGAGGAGGAGAAGTGACAAAATAAGTTTTGGTGACCATGTGATTTTTGAAAGGAGTGATGAAAACTTCAGCAGATATGTGGTTAGGGGAAGACATGGCATGGTTAGAGAATGTTCAGTGGTTTAGTGAGGAAAAAAAGGTGAATGTCTTGCCAGGGAAGCGTGAGTTGATATTCTTCATGGAAACAGAATGCAGAAGTCTGTCAAGAGTTCACAGTGCCATTTATTATGAATCTGGACATGAATGGCTCATCTGGTTTCAGCAGTGCCAAGTGAATCCTTTGAGGGACAGGTCATGTCTAAAGGACTCTGATCACCACATCATGGTGTCCAACCTTATTTCTTTTATTTTTTGTTACCTGAAATATTTTGCATGGAAACAATCCTCGAAGCTTGAAGCCATTGAAGAGCAACATTCACGAGTGAATTTATTTTGATCAAGGCTGTGTTTATGTTGTATGTGTAGCAACACGGTTAATCAAGTTAATTCATTTCTGGAATTAGCTTTTGTACTTGAGGAAGTTACTTAAATGGAGACCATGTAAAGTAATAAGTGTTTGTGAATGGTTGTGTGCATTTTATTATTTGCGTCACATTGTATAAATAATAAATGTTAGAATTTTTGTTAAAGTTTAGATGATATTTTCTTATAGTATGCCCAGTTTTTCTGTACTTATTTTGTAAACTTTTATGACTTTGTTAATATCTCTATAGAGATTATATTAAAATTATAGGAAGCTGAACTGCTTTGCTCTGTGGGTGCAATATGCTAGTACACACTTTTATATGTAATCTTTATAGAAAGAAGTTGACATGTTAACTACAACTTTACCAGACTTTGTTTTAACTTGGTTTTTCTATGTAATGTACATTTTTTGGCAGCCTGTGCAAATCTGGTTTGGCTTATAGTCATGCCTTCTGCCGTGGTGTCTCTGTGTCAGAATGTACTTTCTGCAGGTAGGACAGAAAAAAAGATGTGTTGTGACCGCTTTTGACGCAGGTTCTCGTTCGGCAGTCTGATTATTGCTACATAATGAAAAGAATTACCAGGATCGTTACAGGGACAATTGCTTTAATACTGATGATATGTTGTGTGTAATTTAATCTGTAGAAATTTAACGTATTAAAAGTCATAAATCAGTTGTCTTTGTGCGTTGGTGATAGCACTCCGTCATTACGTATTTGTACATGACAGATGTAGGAGAATTAATGAAATCTTGGATTTTGGGGATTGGTTTGTAGTGCGATATAATTAGTGGAAGGTGCTGTTGAAAAATTAAGATGTTAGTACAGAAATTGGGTGGGTCTAACATAACATTTTTCTTGATTTTACAGTACAGAAACTGCTCTTGTAGAAGATTGGGTTAAATGTAACATTTTTTGGTTAGAAAAATTAATTTTGACCTATAATTGATGCTGCAGGTCAGTAAATATTCCTTTGCTTTCTATGTGGGCCTGTTCCCATAGTTCTGTTGAGGCACAGCAAGGTTTAGTGAGGCTGGACAAGCTAACTGCTGTACCAGGCTTCTTACAGCATTTTCTTTAAATGGTTTGCGTTATTGTTACAGTTTACGTGCTGAGCGGTCTCGGGTGACGCCTGGGGGGGCGCTAGTGCAGGAACCTACGACCCACGGCAGCAGGTTAGACTGATATGCTAAAATCTGACTTAATGCTGCTAGGTGATAGAGGGCACAACAGCACATACTGCTTGCATGTTAAACAGTTTCCATTTTATATCCATTTTACATTAACTTACAGTCTTAAAAAATCTGCTTTTGTAAATCATGAGATTTCTTTCTTGATACTGACATAGCATGAATTTGTACTAAAACATAAAAATTAAATTAGACTGTTTTTGGTATATGAAGTATTTGGAAGACTATGGTTAGGGTATTATGGACATGAGAAATGGAGCTATTTTCATAACTAGATACTTTTGAATTCTTGCCAGTCTTCATTCATTATTTAACAATTTCTGGTTCTAATTCATCTGTTATAACCTGCAATTTTGTAATTCACTTTTATAGGTAGATAGACTGTGGATTCCGATCCTTGAATTTAGAATAAATTAAGTTACAATAAATACGGAATACTTAAAATCATTGTCATTTTCTAAAACTTACATGGCCTTGGGTTTTGTTCCATTGCTGCATTACTTAGTGTATGTATTTTTAAGTACTATCAGGGCTTTCAGTGATAACTTAGAAGGCAATTGCTACAATCCAGTAACATACAAAGAAGATGTGTCAAGACTGTGTCATGGAGATTATCCAGTTACATCAGAAGCAGCAAGAATGTCAGTTTGTAGAGGAATTATTTATTTACTTTTTGAAATTATTTATGTTTTGATCCAGTTAATAAGAGAATAGACCTCTTTAAACTTTATGCACCTTTGACATTTTTGGGTGCAGGACATTTTTTAAAATCCTCCGAACATCTGGATACTCTTAGATTTAGATGTAAAATACTGATAATTTTTTAAACTTTTCCTCATTTAAGTTAAATACGTACAAAGTGAACTGGAAATTTTCTGTAATGAAGCATAGTATTTTAACTTTACTTTAAGAAATATGATAACAGATTGAATGATCAATAAATACCCTGAAGGTGTGAAGAGATCAAGTGTTTTGTTTTGTGGTATTTGAATGGGTTTTAGGCTGAAACAGCTCAGGTTATTATATTAATATTTTTCCTTAAAAAGTATAAAACAGTTAATGGACTTAAGAGATTTAAGGGGTTTCACTGTTAGTGGATGTAAAAGTTGTTTAGAATGTAAGAGTGCTAGTCCAAAGGTTTGTGACAGAGGTGTGTCATTGAACTGACTCATATTCTTGGACGTTTTCCTTCATCTGTTGGTTAAAAAGCACACATTTTGGAAGAAGAGCGGGCTTTCAAAATGATGATTTATTGATGTAGTTTTGGCTGATATTAACAAAAGGCAGTCATGGTCTTAAACATTTATATATTTAATGTAAAAATATTTTATTGAAATATGACAGAATATTACAGAATGCTGTAAATGCTCACAGTGGTGTGATAATTAGCTGATTCTCAGTAGCTTACATATTTTCACTGACCCGGAAGAGGTTAAAGTGTGATTACTTTGAATTTTAATGTTAGCTAATTGTATTTGGACATTGTTTTTTTTTTTCAAATTTAAAATTGACTTTATTTTTCCAAACGTAAAATTTATATATAGTATCTTCATGATTAAGGCTATTAGTTTGCTATATTTAGTGAACCAAAGCAATTACAATTGAATAAGTAGCTTGAGATATGTACAGAAACAAAGTTTCCATGTGGTCTTTGAGTCACATGATGCATGATGTGTACAGTGAATGTTGATGTGATCCATTGCTAGAATGATTCATGAATTATTAATTTGAAAATTATGGATGGAAGTGGTTTGAATCTGCACTTTGTGGACTTTCCTCATCCTTATAGGTTACAGGCTGGTCAATAGTTTTTTTTTTTAGGATAAAATATATATTTGTAATGCTGTACTTTTTGAGTGATAATTCTGAGGTAGTATGTAAGGGGTGGAGGAAATATATCTTGTAAAGAATCATGTTCATTGAACATCAGACAGTATATGAATAATAGTGAAGTTGACATGCCCATCAATCTACAATTCTCACAAATAAATATATTCCATCCATTCATTAGAAGATGACTTTTATGCCTGGTTTTAATGGCGCTATATGTTGCAGATATTTTTGATAGTGCATTTTAGTATAAAGTTTGCTTTGTGTATTATTGAATATGTGACGTCTTTTAAGTATTATAATAATATTGTGTTATTTCTTGGAAGTATATTTCATGCTATTCTGACAGGTCTCTGGACGGAAGGCTACAGGTGTCGCACCGCAAAGGCCTTCCCCACGTCATCTATTGCCGTTTGTGGCGCTGGCCTGAACTGCAGTCTCATCACGAACTTAGGGCATTAGACAATTGCGAGTTTGCTTTCAACCTTAAACGGGACGAAGTCTGTGTCAATCCATACCATTATCAACGTATAGAAACACCAGGTAAGCCATGTGTTTTATAAGAAATTGTCTTCGATGAAAGTCTTTATTACATAATTTATCTCAGTACTTTTGTAGGTTAAGGGTGGATAGTCTTATCATGATGGAAGTAACAGAATTGCTTACCTAACACAAATTTTAGGGAGGCTTCTGTCTGTATGGATGCTGTAACTCCCACCAACTAATTGTTAGTACTATCCTACAAAAATGATACCCAAATGCATTCTTTGGAACTTGGATTTTGCATGGATTTTGAACAGTTCTGTGAGTAAATTTATCTGTGCCTGAAGACTTGTCCGTTAAAGACAAACATAATATTTCTGAGTAAAAGTACAATTTTATTGATAAACATTTATAAATGCAGGTGCAGACTTACTGTCAAAGTAATTAGAAATCTGAACGCAATTTTCAAGCAATAAAAAGTGTTTTTTATTAAAAAAATTCAGTGTGATAGAGATATTTTGTTTTTAGTTGCAATAACGAAGTATCATGAATTTTGATGCATTTTCCAAAATATGCCATTCTTCACATAGCATCATGTTCATGCTTTGTGTTGAAGATTGCTGTCTTCTGGGTTGTTGCGCCATGTAGTCTGGTAGATGTCCGCCATAGACTGCGTGTATGTGCATTGCACAAAGATCAGAAATTGAGACAACCCAGTTATATAAATGTGTTGATGCATTTTAAAATTAGTGTTATTCAGATTGGTAGATGTACTTTTTTTTGGTTTTTTTATGTTTTCAAACTTACGTGTCTGCAGTAATATTAATCTTGGTTTTTATGTGTGTGTGGAATTGTCCAGTGTGATAACTTGGTCATTGGCAGTTATGAAGGGTGTACTTTAAATTGAAAGATAACTTTATTCCAGTCTCTGTTGCTGGTGCATTAAGGCAATGGCCTACGTAAGCGATAACAAGTGAGCTACCCGAGCTGCATAAGCAGCATGGGGTGTCATATGACATAAGGGAATCGCTTGTTGTGTCCTACGTGAGAGACCGCAATAGAAGCACACGGTCTTCCTGCGCATGCACCAGTGTACTGCACGGTCAGAGCTTTCTTGCGCATGCGCCTTACTGGCTAGCGCAGTGATTCACGCGAAAATATCAAAATATTTGATCTCGGACTTTGGCCGCTTCCCTCTCCTGACCACTTCACCGGAACCTAGGACAGCGCCACACAAACACCCAGTTTGATATTTCCGCTTCACCCACGCAACTCGCACCGCTCGCATTTAATCGCGGGTAACAGTATGGAGACATCACATTGTCTTGTTGCAGCATTACCAGCAATCCTAGTTCCACGCCACACAACAGCAAGTGAGGATTGTCAGTCATCCTTGTTTCCTTCTGCTGGAAGTGGCGGAGAGTTGAGCAGTTCGGTGCCAGAGAACACGCAGTTTCCGAGCCCTGTCGGCGGTGGGGGCACTGGTTCAAATAATTTAAGCACTCTGCTGCAGCACTCTCCCATCACAAGCCCAACCCTGGAGCCCCCCCGGCCCCTTCCAACTACTGAGACGCCCCCTCCAGGGTACATGTCCGAGGATGGAGACAATGTTGACCACAATGATAATATGAGTAAGTTTGAAATTGTGGAATTAAAATCACTCAGCAAAACTTGTCTTGGTCTGTAATTTGTCAGTGATGTTCAAGCCCAGATGTGGGTTACTATAATATTGCAGTCATATAGTCTGCAGGGTAGCCAGTGCTTTCAAAGCCACTACAGTTAGTTATTTCACACATTTAGGTTTACATCTTGACTAACTGCAGAGAGAGAAAAGATGCTGCAACTTGACTGAAAAAATGAGGGATATTTCTCTCTCAGAACTAAGTAATTTTGCAGCACGTTACATATGGACTGCTAACAACACTATGCTTGTTGTTAAACTATTTTTGAAAGTGTTGTGGTATACTTGCAGTTCCTAAATTCATAAACCCAAAAATGAGGTTTCTAGTCTTATAAAATATTATTGTCTAAAGAGACAGTGCCTGAGGCAGAGTCTGTGGTCATTTACTGGAACTGGTTGATAATAATAATTGTATAGATCTCTCATTCATTTTGGCAAATTTAATTTTGTAGGTATGTCACGTCTCACTCCAAGTCCTCCCATTGATGCACAGCCTGTTATGTATTGTGAACCAGCATTCTGGTGTTCCATCAGTTATTATGAACTCAATACTAGGGTGGGAGAAACGTTTCATGCTTCTCAGCCTTCTATTACAGTTGATGGCTTCACAGGTAAGGAGGAGGTACTGGTTAAATGAATCCATTAACAACTTTTTAGTGAGTGATTACATATAAGCTGTACTATTTTATTCAGGGCTGTGGAGTCGGTACTAAAATCTCAGACTCCTTCTCCTTCACGAAAGCTCAATATGTATTAGTAATGGTAAACCTACTAAAATGGTAAATGGTACCACAAGTGATTTCATCACCACCATGTTAATCATCAGGCTACTTTTTAGACTTATAACCTATATTTAAGTATACGGGGACGGCAGTGGCCGCGCGGTCGCTGGGACCATGGGTTCGAATCCCACTCAAGCCATGGATGTTTGTCCGCATTTTTCTGTGTTGTGCTGTCCTGTGTACAGGTAGAGGCCTTGCGACGGACTGATCCTTCGTCCAAGGAGTCCTACCGAATGTCTATACATCAAGCCAATGAAAAGTTGGGACCTGCAGTGCTCAGGCACTTGAACAGGTCGTTCCCAGTATCCCAGTATTTAAATATGTGTCTAATGGTTATTGCAGAAATCTGTTGATTTGTAGACAGTTTGTATTCTTAAGGTACTGGAGCCAAAGTTACAAGGCATCCCACACCATGTGGCTCAACGCGTCGTTGAATCTCCTTAAGCGTGAGGCCACCGGCGGCCCACACGGTAGCGAAAGTGTTCTTAAGATTTCATGTCGAGTCGGAGTTGGTACATTTTACCGACTCCGACTCCACCTAAAATTGCTTCCGACTCTGACTCCGCAGCCCTGATTTTATTGGTGTTATTTACATAATGAGAGCTTAGCTGGATCAAAAGTATTTTAGACCAGAGTAGCTACATTAATAAGATATTTTGTGTTATTTATATTTTTCTTCTGTTATCTGTTCCATGTGAGCTGGCGTAGCTCAGTCAATATAGTGATTGGCTATGGACTAGATGGCTAGGTTTCGATCCCAGACGGGGGTAGAGGATTTTTCCTCTAGCCTCTGCATCCAGACCAGTTCTTGGGGTCCACCCAGCCTCCTATCCAGTGGGTACCGGGATCCTTTCCGGGTGGGGGGGATAAAGTGCGGCCGGGGCGTGATGCTGACCACTCACCCCAATCTAGTGCCACGGTCAAGGATGAGAAGGAGCTGTATCTCCTCCCCCCCCCCCATGGGACATGTAGTGGGACAGCTTTACTTTTACTTTTATCTGTTTAATATATTTTGTGAAAAGGAAATATATCCTGATTATCACATACTTTTTGACTCACTAATCTAGATTAATTCCAGATCTGGATTACCCAGCTCCCCACATAATCAGAAATAGTCAAATTTTGCTGTATTTTGAACATGTAATATGGGCATGATTTGGTTTTACCAGGAGCATAGGTCTAATTGCATTTACCAGCAGGACACTGAGAAAACTGCACTGATATGAATGAAAAATGTTATTTGTCCATCTTAACATTACACGTACTTACATATCTGTAAGAGTGTCTGAAGAGACCATATCTAGTCTTTTATTAGCTTGCTATAGTTATAGAGAAACAAACTCATTTATGGAGTTCAAAATTATTTCAAGTAGGGTTCAGCATTAATTACAGTGATTGTTCATACTTGTTTGCTGTTCTGTAAGTCCTTTCTCTTTCCTGTAGATCCAAGCAATTCAGAACGGTTTTGCTTGGGCCTTCTGTCAAATGTGAATCGCAATACAGTGGTAGAACAAACAAGGCGGCACATTGGGAAGGGTGTACGTCTGTATTACATTGGTGGAGAAGTGTTTGCTGAGTGTCTCAGTGATTCTTCAATATTTGTCCAGTCGCCCAACTGCAACCAGCGTTATGGTTGGCATCCAGCAACCGTATGCAAGATACCACCAGGTGAGACAGCGCTTACATTGTAAGGGATATTGTATACCACTGGTTTTTTGGGTGTCCTTTTTAAATATTTCAGTGGCATTAGCGTGATATCACACCAAGACTGCCAGATAGCTCGTAGTCGTGGTCGATTTAATGCTAGCAGTGAAGGGTTGGTTTTCACACTTGTAGGGTAGCAGCCATCTTTGACGTATGGATTTCCGTGGGTTTTGAAAATTGGTATTCACATTCTGGCTTTTTAAATTATGTTTGTGGACGGAGAGAAAGAAAAATTTTCTTTAACTTTCTGTAATTCTCTGAACACGGAGCCTGCTCCATCTATTGGCTTAATATTGGGCTACATGCTGAATTACAGATTATTTTTCTGGGAGACACTGCCAGTTGTAGTGGATTCCTTGAGCATTTCTCAGAGATGCTGGGACTCTTGAAAGATCATAATCTAAGGAAACATTAAAAGACTGATGTCATTTAATAGTTGGCATTAGCCATTTGATGCGGCTGATAGCCCGAGAGGATTTTATTGTACACAGTCCCCTTGAAAGCTCAAGATCTTACATTTAGTACTCCTTATGAATATTCTAAAATTGTCATGTGCGCCCAATTGCCCACGGTCATATAGTTAGCGATACCAGCATTAGATCATATTGCATAGAAATTACGTAATTTATCGCATGTAGACGATTCCTGTTTGAATTTTCTCAGCAGTCTGTGGTACTCATATTTAGTTGTTTGCTTTTGCAAGAAAACAACTTATTGTACCATGTGCAAACAATTCTTATTTTACAGGTTTAATAAGGCATCTTGAAAAAAACTGCAGAGTGTATTTCTGTAACTCTTGTCCATAGGCTGTAATTTGAAAATCTTCAACAATCAGGAGTTTGCAGCTTTGCTGTCACAGTCTGTCAGTCAAGGATTTGAAGCTGTATATCAGCTTACAAGAATGTGTACCATTCGAATGAGTTTTGTGAAGGGCTGGGGTGCCGAGTACAGGTATGTAAGTATGTATAGCACTGATAGTATAACATTCAGTAAAATTCCTATGCAGTGATATTCAGCGAACCAACGTTTCTAATGAATATTGATTTTAAAAGGAACACTCATTTATTTTTTCTGATGATATTTTTTTTGTAGGTTGATACTTAAATGTACTGTTTGTACTAAATAGTTTATTATGTGATGTTAATAATGATAAAAATAGGTACAAGGGCATTTCAAAAAGTAACAGCAAATTGACAATATTTCACGAAACGAATACCCCAGGCATTTCAATCTCCCGCGCAGGGAAGATACATTCTTAGAGAAGATTTTGACACCGCCCAATAGATGGCGTGGCATTCTTAATTAGAAGGGATGCATATACAAAATGGCGGCGTCCTTAGCTGTTTGCACCGTGGAGGAGCAGCGAGCAATCATCGGATTTTTGTGGTCGGAGGGTGTGAAACCTTGTGAAATTCATAGAAGAATGCTGCAATAGTATGAAGATGTCTGCATTGGCGAGAGAAGAGTGTACGAGTGGGTAGATGCGTTTAAAAATGGGCGAACATCAATCTGTGATGACCAACGCTCCCGTCGTCCATGATACTGCACGCCCTCACATGGCTGCTGCAACTCTTGACGCCATTTGGAGACTGAGATTTCAGATCTTACAGCATCCCCCATACAGCCTTGACCTTGCTCCCTCTGATTATCATGTGTTTGGACCCCTGAAGGACACTTTGAGAGGACGAAGATTTGGGAATGTTGACGAGATCGAAGAAGCGGTGCATGCCTGGCTGAAGGCACACCCAAAAACATTTTTTTCTGATGGAATAAAGAAGCTGGTTCAACGGTGTGTGAAGTGTATTGAAAAGGAGGGTGATTATTTAAAAAAATGACATATCATTTGTATCTCTATTTAAATTATATATCTCAAAATATTTAATTTGCTGTTACTTTTTGAAACGCCCTCGTATATAAGTGAGTGCTTCATCTAGCATCTGCAGGTTAATCTTTCTTTTGAAAACTCAGGTCACTTTTTGCAGCAGTATCACTGGTCTTGTATTTGGTGTGTGCTTGGTTTGTTTCCTGGTCAGGTTATTGGCTATCCTGCCTGAGGTTTCTTACAGATTTCAAAGTTCTCTATAGAAATACCAGGATAATATCCTCAGATATTCCTTGATGGTCTCCAAAAATAATTTGTGGTGATTTCCCATTTTATAAATGCTACATGACTTCAGCGGTTCAAATAGCATAGTATAATCAGGCTTTGCCCTGCTGACCCAAAATGAGAGACACAGGGCAGAGTTTGTCAGATCATTTGTATGGTTTTGGGACACAGGCGGTGAGCCAACGCAGTAAATAAGGTGGTGACACAACAGTTTGATGTTGGCCGTTAAACTTTTAATAAGTAGAATGGATATTTTCCTTCATGGTTTCTTCAGTTATTTCATTAACATGCAATCAAATAGTTTACTATAGGAATATAGGAAAATAGGAACTACGATGTACAACATGTTTCAACATTTAGTTATGCTGCATTTTGTCAACAGAGTTTGTATGATTTTCTGAATAAAATGATTATTTCCCTAAATGTCGATCAACCGTTTGGTCATTGTAGTGGAGGTGTGTTATGGTTTCACTCATGTACAAACTGAATTTTCAAGCAGTATTTAAGTGAATTTTGTGTGAAAAATGGTAGACCCTTGTCGTTAACCATTTGATCTTTGTTGGTTTTAAACAAATCATAGTAGCAACCTCTTACGCATGCACAGATGTGTACACACGTGTTAGGTTACCCCTTTATTTGGCAGGTTTTTGAAATTGGAACCGTGATACACGTTGTGTAATAGTGGCTTTATTTTGTTCAAGTTGTTGAAGTTGTTCTGTTGTTACGGAATGCAGAACAACTTTGATAGCTATGGTGGTGAAGTGGAAGACATTTCTTTTGATGTGTCCAGCACTGATACTTGTATATTAGCAGCAAGAATTATGGACTTGGTTAAGGACTAAGTATAATTTATTTTTCGTGGGCTACCAGCCGTGTAAGGTGGACCACCTTACACGGCTGGTAGCCCGAGAAAAATTCAAGATTTTCTTATGTTATTAAGTATTTTGAGCCATGGCTTCCCTATATTACTTCTGTTGGAAAGTGAAAACTGAACTGAATACATTCTTTTTTGGCTCCATGTTTAGAAAAAAATAGTAAGGTGAGTAGTTAAGGTCATGGAGATAGTAATGAAGTTTCTGTACTGCCAGACTTTTTAGGCGTGAACATTGTGTTGTACAGTGCACGTGTCTGGTCACTTATCGGTATCTGTAATACTGTGTAGTGCCACTTCAGTTATAAACGGCAACAATTATTTACTGTCAACCATCTTGAAACAAAATGCTTTGCTGTTATATACCATCCTTGTTTTCACTGATGTACTGAACAGAAATAAACCAAGAATAGACAACATTTTAATTACCAGCTATATTTGTGTGAAATGTAACATTCAAGTTGTTCAATTATTTTTCTGACATATTCAGCACTGAATAATTCAGTTAAATTTGATTTCTAGTCACAGTTAACAGTTACTGTCAATTAGTTGACTTGAATCTGTTTAGGAGGCAAACAGTGACTTCAACTCCTTGCTGGATTGAGCTGCACTTGAATGGCCCTCTTCAGTGGTTGGACAGAGTCCTGACACAGATGGGATCACCACGATTACCGTGTAGCTCAATGTCGTGAACCAGACCTCGAGAAGCTTCGAGAATTATTAGCTGCTGCTAGTTGTAGCTGTCACCAGAAATCTGGCTTAACCAGTGCCACCTGAAGAAATATTTTGTACAACAGAACTGAAGGAGAAATTTTATCTGGTGCAGAACCTTGCAAATGCATCTGCGTCTGTCTACGGACATAATCGAGTAGTGGGTTATCAGATGCAGGAGTGTACATAGAATCTTTAAAGAAAGATTTGTAGAGATAAAACACATACTGAATTGAAGGAATATTTTATAGTGTTGACAGTATGAGGGGAAATTAATTTTCCACTTAACTTTCTGTTGGAGGGACTGACTTTTGCATCAGCTGCTCCACTCTTTTTGTCATTGTGGAATAACAGAAAGGGAATGGTGGTGAGTGGCGGACAGATTTGCTAACAACTTGATCAGTTGACAAAGTAGGAAACTGAGAGAGTAGGATTTCTGTACAAATAGTGATAATTTATTTTTAAAATCTCATATGTGTTTGTTATTACAATTTACAAAGTACTGCTCTGCTTCTTACTGTAAGTCACATAATAATTCTATGTTGAACCTTAGGTTAAGATATTAATACATAAAATCCCATGACCATTCTGTCGTCTGGCCGTTTGTCAGGTGGGATTAGAATGCTTTGTGTATGTGGCAGATGTTATTTCTAAATTGCTCGTTGTCTCTCTGGCTTTCAGTTGTTTCTCTGTTCACGCGTTAATATTCTTTCTTTTATTGTGCTTCTCTGTTCTTTTAGATGAAAAGGTAAAATCATTGCAGAATGTTACAATGATATTTAATGATAAAGGATCAGCGATAGCTTCGGAACCAGTAGGAAGTGCTATTTGTAGAGGCCAATACAAAAATGGAATGAAGTTGTGGCGACATTTTACAGATACGACCTGTTGCCTGTTTTACACAGTATGAACAGTTCCAGACCTGTGTAGCTGCTTTTTTTTTTAAATGAAATGTGTTTAGTATTTTGTCCTTAATGTGTGATTTACAAATTTTTATTTTTCCTTGTCTGTAATTTTTTTAATCTACTGAGTTATTTTAGATATTTTTACATCCACTGTCGCTGTTACATATTTTCATTTGAGTTATATACATCGTGCTGTATTGAGAATGAGTGTACGTAACACACATACATTTAATTTCTATGCTCAAGTGCCTGTCATGTACAGGTTTCTTCATAGGAAGAGATATTTCACAAATAAAAAGAGGAAAGGAAATACTTCCTTTGTGTGCTCTTGAAGTTACAGCTTTCAGTAGTTACAAACTGTATTAAAAACTACTTAAAATTGTGGCAACCCACTGAACATTCATCACATGAAGTTGCTATAATAGGGATTATTGAAGTGAATGATTTGTGAAGAACTTGGTTTTGTATGTGTTCTCCCATGTAATCCGTTTGGTTTGATATTTGTTCTGAATGGATCTGTGCCTGGTGCTAGAGTAAACCTGGTAATGCGGTGAGTTAGGGATTGAACCCGCGGGGACCTTCTGTCGTCTTATATGGATTTTGTACATTCAGCATACAGGCAAAGCAAAGAATTTTGTAAGACTTTCGTGAATGTATTGTGGAAGTTGGTCTTCCTTTTTTTTCAATCACATTAATTGTTTGATGTTTAGTTTTCTTCTTCATTCTTCTCTCTTGTCATGAATACCTCTTGAAACTCTTGTCCACTGATATTTGTTTTTTTATTGTTATTTTATCTGCAGACTTCATTCTTTTTCTTGTCATGATCTTATTACATGTTTTAACCTAATTATTGTAATTTAAGAGATTACTTTCAGTTACAAGTATAGGTTTTGTTCCTTCATTTTGTAGGAACAACCCATTTTTTAGGTTTTCTTTTACTTTTGAATACTTCTTTAGCGTTCAAGATAAGACAGATTGATAGTGGTATGTTTAACTGTACCACTCTTTGATGTGTTAACCATTTTGAAAATGTACGGTTTAAATTGACCACTCTTTGATGTGTTAACCATTTTGGAAATGTACGGTGTAAATTACAGGTTTTATTCTACTACATACATATACTATGTAGTTTCTGTAAATATACACTCTGAACTACTCTGAGTATATAATGAAATAAAAAGTATGCAGAATTATACCTCATTAAATTGGACTGCAAGTGAAACCATTGTGTTAAGTACTTTGTTTGAAGCAAGACTTCGAGATAATATGATTCAGGACTCGTCACATTATGTTAACTGTTAATGCATATGGAACTTCATTACTAATTGATTGTGCTTAGAACAGTGTGTTTTGCTGAAACCTTAAGACTGATTAGTTGCTCAGTAGCTGGTTCTGCATAACCATTGCCAAATATCTAAAACAAACTTGCTTTGCTAATACTTTTGAGACCAGAATACAAGAATTGCAAGGTATGCATCTTGTGAAGAGTTTAATTCAGAGGCTAACCAATACAACTCTATACTATTCAGTAGGTGATGTTTAGACAGGAAATCTTTTCAGGTGGGAAATATCTGTTTTGTTAAATTCGTATTAATTATATGAACTAATTTTGGTGCCAAAATTTTTAAATTTTTAGTTGGAAAACTTTTCGATGCTGTCTTCTTATATGAGATTCATTGTATTCCATTTCCATACAGTTGTTTTATTATGCATTTTATGTCTGTTAAGAAATAAAAATTCTGCAAATTAAGAAATTTGAGACATTCAGTTTAACAACAAAACAGTTGCTAATTGTTTTGAATATTCTGCATTTCTGCGCTCTTAAATTGTATCTTTTTATTCCTTTCACACTAAGTTGTGCAGGTATCCTTTTTTGAAAAGAATGCATTATATGTAGTTTGGGTACTTAACCGTGAAACATGTTTGAAAAATTGTAGATGTGTTTCTTCTTGGAGCTTTAGCCAGATAATTTAATTTCATGTTGACTAAGTACAGGTAACTCTCGGTTTACGAATGAGTTCCGTTCCAAGACGTTGTTTGTTCGTTATGTGTATCTTGCATTCCTGAGCTTTTACGATATGTATCATATGCGTTAGCAGCTATTTTAAAGCATTAAAATCATGTACTAAACATTGAATGTTCTATACAATACATCTTATTATAATGTATGTATGCATTATGGTTTATCATATATGATACATAACCACTACTATCACAACCAGCACTACTATTTCACTTTGGACCAATGATCGCTTAAATTTTTAAAAATATATTTTTAAGTCACCAAATGCAGAACTACACTTGACCTTCTAAGACAGTGGTATTCAACCTTTTTTGTTTGCGTACCCCCAGATATAATTTCTCTTCAACTTTGTACTCCCAAAGTTGTTGGGGAATAATACAAGTTATACATAGTATATAATCTACATCTAAAATTAATTACATTACTGATTATTCAGTGTTGATCATAAAATAATATATATATATTAAATTTCATGTACCCCCGAGGGTACGCATACCCCAGGTTGAATACCACTGGTCTAAGATAACCTAGGCAAAGCAAGTGATTATCCTATTATATTATAATAGGAGGAATCACCGATTTCTTTCCCGCGAGAAAACATCCTATGCGGCATGGCACGTAAACCACCGTTTTTTACTGGCTAGATTAGTTTTATTAACCAGGAACAGTTCAGTATAATTATCATATAATAATTTTCTGATAATTATTGTAATAAATACATTTTATAAAAGTTTATTTATTTAAATCTTACAATTATGTTCGCTATACATTTGGCATTTTGTTTTATAAGGAACTCTATCTATTGGCAACTTTAAGAAATTTTGAATGAATTGTGACGTTTGTTATAGTGAATGTTCGTAAATTGAACGTACGTAAACCGAGAGTTGCCTGTATAATAAATTATTCTTGGGCTACCAGCTGTGTAAGGTGTAAGAATGTGCTGGTCTCGACATCTGAGCATAAGCTGAGCAGGCTAGATTTCTTTTTTCAGAGATTCTCCAAGTGTCGAATGTCATGAAATACCTCCTTCCTGTAAAGTTTAGTGATGTATGATCTGAAGCTTTTACGGTGACTAAGTATAATAAATTCTTACACAGCTGGTGGCCCGAGAAGAATTTATTGTACTCCACGTGGGTGTTTCGCAGACGTGATAATTACTTATAAATTGTAGTGTGTGAAGGGTCCAATGAGGCAGTTATATAAACGTAGTATAATTGTCAAAGAAACGATTCTTTGGTGCAGTAAATAATATTCTTTTCTTATAATCATATTTCTGTGCATTATCCTGGTAGTTATTAATTAAAATCTAAATTATGTTACAACCTGTTTTTTTCTTTATCACGTTTTTTTATGGCAGCCTGTTTCAGTGCAAATTGGGCCACCCTTAAGCTGCACAAGTTCTGTGTCCAAAGCAAAAATTGCGTTTACATGTAAACCATTACCTTTAGCACCTTGTTGAATTACCCAGAATGCATTAAATGTTAAAATTTAGTTGATAGGTGTTACAAATGTATTAAAAATGTGCAAATGAAATTATGTACATAAAACAATATGCCTGTTTAGGCATATCAACATATGATGAAACTGAGTTAAATCTTTTTGTTTTGATATTATTAAATATTGTATTTTTTGCGGAATGGAATGAGAAAGATGCACCATACTTGCAGTTGCTATTATCAGAAAAACAAAGAATCAGCTTGCATGAAATTAATGCAGTTAATTTTCAACATCCAGTTAATTATTTTCACACTTAATTTGATAAAAACAGTAATGTGAATTAAACCAACAGCATCCATAATTCACGGATTGTGAGCTTTGTTTTCTGACAATTTCATTCTGTCAGTATCTGCTATAATCTTTGCCTTTGATGTGCCGTGGTGTACTATAGGGAATTGGTTTCTTTTTATATTATTAATAGCCACATTTGTATTTATTTTGCTGTATGAATATTTTTCTCATGAGCCATTATGTGGTCCAGTGTGTAGTCACCACTAATTGGTGAAGATATTTTTTTTTTCGTGTTGAGTACACACCATTCACCATGGTGTGCATTGGTGGTTAGCAGGATTCACGACCCATCAGTACATGGGTTCGATCGGGACCGCGACATTTAACGCTCCTGCTGTGGCCCACCCTTTTTGCGAGATGATTATGAAAGTGGAGTATTTGTTGGGATGCCACGGAGAAACCGGGGAAACCCCAGAGGAAACCTCCGTGATGCCTAGTCCACGGCCTTGCCCAACACAAGTTGTAAATCTGAGCACCGCCGGGAATCGAACCCGGGACCCCCAGTATTACAAGCCCAGCGTTCTAACCGCTAGTGAAGATATGAAATTGTTACTGCGTACTGTGTTTGCGTGGAGATTCTTCCACTAGAATCCATTTTTATATAGTGTTTTATTGACTTTATGATTATGATAGCTAAGTAAACTAACCACTTTATTATTTCACTTGGTCTGTATACTCACTTGTAGGGCCTCCCTATCCAAATTGGTCGAGGGGGAGAGGTCAGACTAAGACAGGTACCCTGGTCCTCCAGGTTGGGGGTTGGTCGCAAGGCTAACAACCTTGCACCGTAAAAAGGAAGATGTTCCGAAACCTCAACCTCTAACAGAGGACCGAATGGAAGAGGAGAATTGAGGAGGCCATAGAAGAAGAGTATACTCACTATAAACATTCAGTTCTGACAAATGTCAGAGTGTTTTTGTATAAAGGTGACTTGCATGGAGGAAGCTTTTAACATGAACATGATGATCAGTGACATCGTTATGTCTTTATAAAAGTGGTGTTTGATATTGTACTGGACCTAAATGCACCAGATGATGGTTTATTGGAAGTGAAGTTAATAAAATTGTGGTTGTGGATAATATGAATCAGTGCAGTTCACTGTGATCTTAGCTTGCTTGAACTTTTTTTGTCCCCCGGTGATACATAAACAAAGGAGTTTAATGGTGGTTTAGAAAGACGTTCTGATTGCTACATAGACTAGTAGCTACTTGCATGAGACAGGCAATTTCGAAACACCTTAACACTATAAACTTTATGTAACATCCATTTTCAACTCCCAAGGAAATATTATTTTGAAAATGTTACAAATATTTGGCATGAGAGTAAATTGATTTGTTAGTGAAAATTGTGATTGAGTGAATGGTTCTTTCTTGTCTTTCTTTTTCTTACAAAATATAGTTCAATGCAGAATGATGAGTGTACAGTGTGGTGGCAAGTATTGTAATTTTTGCTGCAGTTCATGACGTTGCTTCGCATTGCAGGTAACACGAAGTCAGTAGCCTGTTTATGTGGAGTTATGAGGTATGAAAAAGAATTTACTGTAAGTGGAATTATTTTATAAAATAACTCGTGCAGCAGATGGAGCACTGTAAGTTTTTTCAGTTACTAGGTGAAACAGTGAGTTGAAAATTATGGTATTAAATGTACAGAGAATAGGCTTCATATTTACTTGAATCCTGTAGGTTAGTGTTACATGTAAAAGGGCTAATTGTAAATGAAATAATTTAATTTGTAAATTCTAAGTAATAATAACTCAGAGTAACTTAGTTAAGAAATGATTTGTGATATTTTCATTGCAATAATACTTGTTTGATACTGATAAAATTTGACTGTGAATCATGAACATTAACCTGAGAAATGCCAGAAGAAGAGTACAATTTTTTCTAATGATTTTTATAACTAAAATGTTGAAACATTCTCTGCATTGTTTAAATTATGTGTCTAGTCAGTCACTTTGTGTCATTTTATAATTTAAAATATTGGAAAAAATACTCATGTCTTTATTGAGGTACATTGATGGTTTTTAACTACTGTATGGCATCTCTGGAGTTAGCAGGGCGGACAGTGTAGAGTCATGTATGGGGAGTCTCCTTGATGTGAGGACATTAACTTACTGCTGGCTGCCATTCAGTCCAATACATGATCATCCAAACTTTATAAACAATATAATTGTGGAATGTGTCTGTATTTCTCTGCTTAAAAATTATGAATGATGACATGCTGTAATTCTGGAATATAATGAAGACCAGAATATTTTGTATTTTGGCAATCCTGTTTTATGTGAAACTGCTACCTATATTTCTAAGAAGAAAGGTTGTATGTACACATGCTTACTGGTTTTCCCATAAGTTCAGCACCATAGGAGAGCTATGTTATTTGGCAATATGGAAAATGTAAAGACGAAGAATTGTCGTAAATCTTGTGTTTCCAATCTGAAATGCTATAATTTTTTTACCTGGGGCAAACCATTACTGTGCTACGCTCTGCATTATCAGTAGTAAAAAGTTATGACAATGTTGCCACATTGACATGACAGCAAAAGGGGAATGTCTTCCCAGAGTAGGGAAATGCTGTAGCGAAGGAGACGTGGCCGGAAATACAAATGAATGAACTCAGGAAACCCACAGCAACCGGTGAAGTGTCTTGTCAATGTAGCAACATTTCCGTAACTTTATTATTGATGATATAAAGAATGTTGCACCATAATGGCTTGTCATAGGTAAAAGATGCCAACTCTTAAAATTGAAAACACATTATTTGCAACAACATTGTCATAATTTTTATTATTATTCTTATTTATAGTTTACCAAGTAACAGTTGTCCTATGGCTGAAGACTTATGGATCATACTGTGCGCACACACTGTGTTGAATTACAGTTCTTACAGACTGTTCTAGAGAAGTGTTGAGTGACGATAGTGGGCATTAGTAGGATAGTAATAGTGTGGAATCTGGTTATTTGTTTAAAATAAAATTTCCAATAGCTTTTAGATATGCAGGATTTGTTTTATAATATTTTATATCTGTGGAACAAAGGAAGCTCAGTAGAATCAACAGTTTCAGAGTTTTAATATTTGTTTTATGGGGGAGAAAGAATTCTTCCTCTAAGGTTGATGTTTGAGGTTCAAATTATAGAAATATTTACTTGATTTCCTTTAGAGTAAACAACTGCTGTACGAAATTGTTCCAAGAAAAATTAAAATGAAACAGATAACTTTTGTAAATATTAAGCCCTTTTTAAAATGAAGTTAGTAAATACTGAACGCTTTTTAAGCATTTGAAGAATTACCTATTATTAATAACTGTGCCATAGGGAAAAAGATTTTACAAACTGTAAGATCAAAGTTGACTTGGTTATGTGAACATGATACTTGCTTTGTGTTGAATATGGCACTTTTGAGTTTTTTATTTCTTAATATAAACATGATTTTCTTAGGCATACCAATATTAGTTTCATGTAAAGATATGTACATAATTAAAGGTTGAGAAGAGACCAGTAGAATTCAGTTGGACTTCTGAATTGAAACAAAATCCTACTACCAAATTTTAAAAAATATGTTCTAGAGCAGCGTTTCTCAACCTATGCTACACATGCCACTGGTGGTATGCGAACTAAGTAAGAAAATCAGAAGTTAATATTAATGTAATAACAGTTTTCCCTGAATGCTTTTGGTTAGTGGTACATTTAAAGTGTTCAATTAGAATTATTGGTATGCCAGTGAAAGAGGTTGAGAACCCCTGTTCTAGAGACTACCTCAGTAATGTACTCTTGCGTGTTTGCAACACTGAAGAATTGCCCGTAAAATTGTCGCTACTCATATATACTTCTATAATTCAAACATGCTAAGGTCTGTTATATTCATAATTCCATGGTATTTAGTTTAAGTCATGTTTTAATTGATACCTACAGGTTATTCATGAAAGGACTGATTATTGACAATAACATCTTTTGTTCTGTAGTGTAGGACACAGTCTTCAACAACTAATGCTGTAAAACTATACTCCCAGCATTATTTTATGCAGGTGTGCGAACATCGGAATAATTGGTCCTACAAAGAAAGAAAATGAAAAATAAAATAGTTGTTCATGCAAGTTTTAAAAAAGTGGTCTTCTGAGTACTTGTATGTGGATTTTAAAGAAGAGGAACTACGTTTAATATAGGCAAGGTCTTCTACATATTACCAAAATATGTTATTCTACCCTTCCAGGAAATGATTGTTGCTTACATGTGCAATATGTAATGCAACAGTGTTCAAACTTACACAGAAACAGGCTGCTATTGCACCTCACACTATTGCAAACGCCTCAGCAAAAGAGTTTACACATTGATGTACTTCAGTGTAGCTGGCAGGTCTCCAACTTGAGGTTCACAAAATTCATTCATAATTTAGATTTGAAGTTCCAAATAAACATTTCAGAATGTTTTATTTTGAGCAACATTAATTACAGACTATATTTTTCCTTGATTTCTAATGGACTCCAGCTGATCATTCTATATTCATTGAGCCTTTGATTGTCAATTGCCATTGTCCTAGCTGTGCACACTTGCAGTTATACTTCTGGACTGCCATAGTTCAAATATAGGCACTTTTTTTTACATACGAAGATGGAGGTTCTTATTCCAGCTCCCGCCGACTGTGAAGTGCGGTCAGTGATAAAGTTTTTGAATGCACAGAGCATAGCGCCGATCGAAATTCATCGTCAGCTGTGCCGGGTCTATGGGCCTAACGTCATGAGCAAGCAGATGGTGCGTCGCTGGTGCAGACAATTTTCAGCAGGTCGACAAAGTGTGCATGATGAACAGCGCAGTGGGAGGCCATCCATCGTTACAGACGATCTTGTGGAGCTTGTGCGGGAACGCATTATGGATAATCGTCGCTTCACAATTACGGAACTCAGCAGTCATTTCCCGCAGATTTCCCGCACCTTGTTGCACAAAATTGTCACGGAGCACTTGTTCAAAACTTTTTCAGACGAAAGTTGTAATCTTGATTAATTTTTACATTGTGTACATTTTTTCATATGTTGTGCTAGCTGAATGAACTTTATATATATGAAAAATGTGTACTTTCATATTCACGTAAAATTACAATTTTAGTTACCTATTTTAATTGTGTACCCTGTTATTTTTGAGTATCAGTTCATAATATTATCAGCCAAATTTGCATAGGTTTGAATGGATATTATCCAGGTTTAAATTAGAAACATTATAAATAGGCCCAATCCCTATAGTAGCAGTAGATGATGATTATAAATATGATCATGGGTTTTGTCATAGTGGTGAAGGGAAATCCCTGTTCCTATTAGTAATTAAACTGGTCATCCAGCCTGTAATTGATCATTTCACTGATTCTGCAGTTCTGTCTTACAGAGCTGATGTTTTGGCATTCTTAATTAATACTCAAAATGTTAAGAATGTTTAGATATTGGAGTTAAAATGAATATTACATAAATGTTGACTTAATGATGTCTATATTAAATATGAACAATTAAAATTTGCAAAAAAAATGTGACTGACCACTAAGTGGAAGAGGGTGGCATACACTGCAGTGACTGCACTACATGTCATGTTAAGAAACTAAAATAACATTGAAATACATTAAAAAAATGTTATTAGCAGCAGAGTACTGAAAGAAGTTTAGGTGCTGGATTGTCCATACACATATTATTAGTAAATGTAGGTAATCTCGTCATAAACTCTGTGCAGGCCAAATGGTAATGAATTTTATTGTGTAGGAAATGTGTGCATCCTTTTCACAACTGTTTTCTTGATCTAATGGGAGTCTTATGTATTTTGTTTCCAGTGACTTATTTGGAAAGTGATAGGATCAAATGGATGACTTCCTGAATATATTCCACTTTGACTTAATGTTATTTCACAGTTTCAAAATCTATTTTTATGTTTTGTCAGCGTTCCTGCAATAGTATTTTCTCTACAGTGTTTGTTCACATAGTTATATTTAAGCTACACGAAGACAAATGTAACAGTTGTCTAATTTTTGCAGAAGCTGAAAACAAACTTTGAACTCTATGACATTTTAGGTTTTGATGACGAAGACAGTTTGAATAACATTATCATGGGTTATGCCTCTGTGTTAGTCTTATACCTTGTTAGTTTTGCAGAACGTATCACCTCCATCTTCAGGCAACCACGTATAATACGACATAACTTCATACTTGTGGCCACAATACAAACTTTGGACTGGCACCATGTAAACAAACAGTTGAAATTACTCTGTTATAACATAAAATTGATCTTATCATAGCAGTTTTGGTTAAGTCGTATATATAAAACAGCTTGTAGTAAAACTGAATATAGAACTTAAGTTTTTAAGCTGTTAGAAGACACAGATCATGGTTTATGTGCCACAGGTTTGTGCAGTCTTTTATTAGAGTTTCAAGATGAAATGAAAACCAAGATCGTATAAAACCATCTGTCCATATTGTGAGAATTTTAATCAGAGCGATGTAGCTGTAAAATGTGAGATACATGAGACAAGTTGATGCAGAAGTGTTGAAGTGGTTTGTGTTCAGATTAGCAAGAATGTCATTAAGATGAGAACAATACATATGTGAAGAACAAGTGGCGTGTTTTTTCTCTTTGCAGTTTTGTGTTCCTGACATTGTTTTAATTTATTTTTTGTTTGTTTTATATTGTGTTTTTCTCTACATTTATGTAATGAGATGAAGTGTGATGGTTTTTCCTTTTTATAAAAAGTAATTGTATAAAAAACTTGCTTCACTATTTCTTGTTAAAACAACAGTTTTGAACTTGAAAATGGGAAGGTAACCTTCCTTCTAATCCTGTGTCCATTTGTTGCCAACTTTTTAAATCAGAAAATGAGTTTGAATCAAAGTTGTGATGAATTAATACTTATTATTTTTTGTGTTTGTGTAAACATCTCACCTTGATAATCTTTGGCTTTGTTCATTTTTGTGTCTGCTTATTAGGCTGCTGGCAAATTAATGAGTGTAGTCAAACTGAATCTTACTTTTAAAGGCAGACCCATTTGCATAAAATTCGTGTATACCTCAGTCACACTGCATGCATTGAGTCAAGCTGTCTTCAGAGTGGCATCACAGATGCAGCATCTTCTGTCTTCATCATTCAACTACAGCGAGTTAAAGGGTAGTGACCTGAATTTTTGACTGATTTAAGTAGGATTATGAAAAATTTAAGGTGCTTGAAAGGAATCATAAAGAGATTTGTGATAATAAACAGAAGTGATAGAAAGTGATGCTACTGCTGTCAGTATTGAAGGAGATGGTATTTTAAGATACAGTGGATTCCGGTTAATTGGGACGCATCAGGACTAGAACACTTTGGCCCATTTAAGTGGCTGCCCCAACTATGAGAAGTTCCATGTAAAGAGTTAAAAAGGTTTGCTCTTACATTTGTCCCAAATAAACGTCTGCCTCAATTAACCGATGGCCCAATTAATTGGAATCTACTGTATATACCTAATTAAGTAATCCCTTCAGTAATATTTGAGTAACATTTTATCAAGTTCTGTAAGTCTGTCAGTTTTGATTTGTTCATTCAGTTGATGGTTCTGCAGTGTCAGCAACAGGGTCAGTTTGTTTACAAAAAAATCATGAAAATCCTAAGCCCACATTCCACTGACCTGCTTGCCATCAAAAGCGTTTTTTTGTTTTGTTTGTTTGTAAATTTAAGTCACGTTTAGGATGCGGTTTAATTTAATTTATTTTTGGAAAATAATCTTCACCAACTAGGTAGAATGGGATATTTATGTTAGAATTTAATGCTCAGTAGAAAATTATTTTTATAGAGATAAAGTGTAGAAGACACTGCCATCATTTATCAGTATCAACCAATGTAAAACAGCAGTTTTCATCAGCTACTCAAGTAAAATGATGGTAAGATGATGGGCCATGTAATTGTAATATAATAAGACACTCTGTGGTGGATATCTGTTGCAACAGTGTTTGCCATCAATGCTTTCACTGTAGTTTGACGTATTACATTTGTTGTTAATGAAGCTTGAAATTAATATCGAATCATTAGTGTGTGAAGTCGTGTATGAGTAGTGGACATCCCAAATGATGGTGCTCAGTGTCTTCCATACAGCATGCAGACAAATTTGGGTAAATTCTGCCCAGCCATTAGCAGTGTTGAGGATTGCTTGGTAAATGTACAACTTCTGTGAAGTTTTGACAGTATCTCTGCCTATTGCTTCTACTGTTTGTGCAGATCGTCTACATAGATCATAGGCTTTTAAGTTTGCAATCACCCCCTGATCCGTAGATTGGCGGATCAAAGTCATGTTTGGGGTCAGAAACACACCTTTGACTTCAAAGTCGTGTTTGTCAGCCAAATTAAATTTTTCGGGTTTTCGAAATGTCCTGACTTTAATATGAAGTTTTGTTACTGGTTTATTTTATCATACATTTCAAGGAACTTATTACAACATAAGATGGGAAAGTTGTTTTCATGAATATATTTTAGACATCTTTATTTGAATCAGAACAGTGATCATGGCAACATAACCAGGAGGGCAGACAGCTGTTGCAGGAATGGTCAATCAGAGGTTCAGTAAGCCATTTTTTTTCCTGCTTGCCAAAGGGGTTTCTCAAGCAAAGGTTCATCATGAAGTTGTGAGCTCAAAACTGGTTGCATGAGTATCACAGATTCTGCATGGCGAGGCCATCATCATCCACTGTTTGGTCCTGATCTGTTCCAAGTGACCTACCATTGACGAATGTCTTGCTGACCATCAGTTCCAATCAGAGTTTACAGTCATGACGCTGGGCACAGAGCACTCAGTTCTTCCAAGATGGTTTCAACTGGTGTACTGATATGGTAAGTGTCTCAATGTGCAGTATGTTGGTTTAGTGTTACAGCTTTAATTTTCCAATTTGCCCTTATATTTATATAAAATTATCATATTTGTTTTACACAACAAAAATGTAATGTCTGTAATCCTTCATTCTGAATTTTAATATGTATAATTAATATAGCAAATCAGGAAAGAAAGTAGGATTCTCAATGATTTTTGTGTTCATTTGCTATTAAATGAAGATGTGTAATTGTCACAGTTACTGTTTTGTATTAGGAAGATCCCTGATTTATTTATGTGCCAACTATCCTGGTGCTTTCGGACTAGTTAAGAGCCCCTTATATGCTGTTTTAAATGGCACGTGAAGTGTATAATACTAGCATGTTCTGCTCCAATAAATAGGCAAGGATCACTTCATCTGAATTCCGTACCTCACTGCTGATGAAGTCTTGTTGAGACATACCTGTGATTTTATAAAAGGTTCTTCTGGTTACAAGTCAGTTTACTAGTTTAGGATATGAAAATACGAAATATTGTGATGGGTAAGATGAAAATTAAGGAAAACACAAAACTAAACAGTTTGCTTTTAATTTATTTTCTACATTATCTTACCAAAGGTGACAAAATTCTAGTTTTTAATAAATAACATGGCTCTGTAAAATGACAGAGTACAAATTGTGTCTGTAGCATTATCAGATTGAGAGATGATCCTGTGTATCGTGAATGAATAACGTGTGAAGGCCTGGTCTGATGGACTAGAGTAGGAATATAAACATAGGAAACCATTAACAAACATAAAAAACAGACTCCCATGTAATAAATACAGCAAGTTATTTCAGAAATCACAATTACAAAAATTTCCCTGAATTTAGGCTATACAGAATTGAAAAATTACCATTTATAAGATATAATTTACAACTGCACTATGAAGGTGTTAATAGTTTTGATAACTTGTGAAAATCAATTCTAGGAGGAACTAACTTGCTTGTGTTTAAACATGGCAGTCATAATAATCTGAGAAAAAAACTAAATAGAACTGCCCAAATCAGATACACTACATATTTTGTTTCGATCTGAACAGTTCAATGCAACAATACTTTTCTATACAAGGAAAGCCCACTGCACTTACTGAAGATTATATCAAATTCAGAAATTTATATCATAAGTTGGCTTACAAGAAAATGGTATAATTGCATATTCCGTACTTTTATTATATAATGCCTAATTGTTACAAAAACTTTAAACTTTCAGCAAAAAGTTGACAGATACATTAAATGACATTACACTGTTCTGTTGAAACTTTCTGCACAAGTCAGTATTGCATTGATGAGCATCAAAATCTTCTGTATGCTGTTGTGTGCCGTGGTCAGTGTTGCTTGTTGCCTTAGAATTTAGGTCTTGCTGTGGCCAGCAACTGCTTTACACTGAAAGTCGAAAGCCCTAGTCCCAAACCTGCCAGCAGTAATGCAGATGGTAACACCAGACGGTCAATTGGTTGCCTACCAGTCGCAGACCCAACCTGCAAGATGTAGGAATTAAACATGGTACTTCACCTGTATTCCCAAGATGTAGGAATTAAACATGGTACTTGACCTGTATTCCTTAAAAGGCCATCATATTTAAATGGCCAAATAAGTAATTTTATAATGTATTCTGCTGTGGAGTAGCTTTTTCTATAGTGTCAGTTAAGATAACCATCATACACTCCATTTGTATTTACAAACATACACAGTTTCATTGTCATCAAATTTATCCATTATGTATCCCTATTTTTGCTAATAATCTGTTTAGTTCTCACAGTTTTGCTGAAACTATCTTCTACATGGTCTCTGTTTCACAAACACAAAATGAAGTTCTTATTATGCAGTCGGTAAGATACTAGTACAGGATACAGTTCAAAATTATTCAGAACTAAATTAATATTATGAACATCTTTCATTGTGGGTCAAAGGTTAAGACTCTTTGACTTTTCTCACTTCTCTATACTGCTGATGCTCCAGGTATATGATGAAAATGCTATGCTCAGACTAATGGTAGTGAGAGGTTGATTGATTACCTTTCACTTTATGACTGTTAAAGCCCTTAAAGAATGCACTTCAAATGTGCTTTTGGATATCATTTACCTGTGTCACAGAGAGCCTCACTGCATAGCTGGTGGCTCGGGTGAAATGCATTGCTGGGTTACTCAGTCAAGCCCAGTACTTTGTCACCTCCTCCTGCCACCCCATAACAAATTACATAAATCAATCAAATGCAGAAATGGCATTCCATTGTTGCTTAAAAATTAAATGCAGCAGTCCAATCTTAGGTGGGAACAATTTTATTTATCTCAGTCAGACAGAAAATATAAAAGTATGGTAGAAAAAGAAAAGTAAGAAACTGTACTTATATACTTCCTTACTGTTTAGTTATTTGGTTCATAGTGAATCAGTTCAAATAATCATAAACTTCATTATTCATTATGCAGTTTTATTATATTATGTTATCAGCTTTCAGTAACAGTTTATTAGAAATGCCTTAAACATAGCTATTCTAGGTGAGATTTCAGGTTCTTATGGTAACAAGTATGCAACCGGCAGCCATCAGCATTGTTATTCTAACTGTAAAACACTATGCATACAAAACGTTTTAGAATTTCAACAAGAACTGGAAGCCTGTACAGTAGCAAAATAGGCTTTCTGATTTCCATCCATAACACATTAATTTCAAACAAAAGTTACTGAAGACATTAATATTATCACAAGTATATTCAGCATAAATTTTAATCTGTCAAACATCAAACTAGCTACACAAACATACCACTTTCTACGACAGCAAGACCAAGACTATTCCTTCTTCACTAGAGGTACACTGAACTCACTTCTTAGCTTGACAATGATAAAAGACAAAAACATGCCATCAGCACAGGCTCTCAATCCAATTCATAGATATAAGAGCACAAACTTTGACCAAACACTGATAACAGAATCCTACGCAGCGTGCATGCCATCCACCACTTAAAAAACAAAGCGAACAGTTAACGTCTACTCTTGTATTTGGCAAGTTTCCCATTCATCATGCCATAAAACCATAAAGAAAAGATGTGTCATTGACAGTATTGCTTTACTTTCATTATATAATTTAAAAGTTGTTTATATTTTCTAGTCAGGTATGTTCCTAAAATGTAAATTGAATCCACATTATTACTCATATCAACAACCAGTCTCATAGTGAAAGTATGTATAGTAGTGAGAACCTCAAGTCTTACAAGAAAATTGAACATAAAAATCTGAAATGCTGTCAATTATTTAGATACATTTGCACAAACAGGATCAGAAAACACGATTGGTGTCTTGTAATTGCTTCCTCAATTATTTATAAATATATTTAGGCCCCATACATTATAATTTATAAGCACTACTGTATATTTCTTCTACAAGGCTAAGGAAAACAAATGGTTACAATTCAGATTTGAAAAAGGTATAAAAATTTATTTTCACAGCATAGGTTACCCACTTTTATCATTATCAAGGACCTGTTTCCATTTGGGTTGTTACTGACAAAAATATAAAATTAATGTTCAGCATATTTACCAATCATGAACCAGTATTTGAATTCCTTTAGAGACCCTACCCATCCAGTCATCATGAACATGTTTGTACCAAAGTATCTGCACATTTTCTCTCTCCATCTTTGAAGTTGAAAACCAGTAAGAAAATGACACACACAATGCATAAGGTACCAACCTAACAGTTTCTTAATAGTCATAATTTTCAAATACTACAACACTAACCCCATGCAAAGCTGAACACAAAGAAAATTCCTGCAACATCCTTTTACTCTTCAGTTATGAAACAGGAACAATCCTCCTTTTTATAAGAATCACACAAAAATCTGACAGTCTTCCTAATAGCTTTTGAACCAGAGAAAACATCATAAAAACTGATAAAGCTTATGTTTAAAAAGTTGACAGTGGAGAATCTGACGTAAATTCGTTTCTGTAATGTAATGAAATAATTCTTATATAAGATAAGTACTTGTGATATTCTAAAACGTTTTTACCAGCACAAAATTATCTAGTTTACGACGCACTTCTTCTACAACCGATTCACAGCTCAGCTCTTTCCGCAAAAACGAAAGCGGATTGTTGACGGCAGTAATGTAAGATTACAATGCACACAAGCTGACCATTGTTGTCAGTCCATATTTACACATTGTTGATATGGATCTTACACGTCTTCATTTCACGTTTTTGCCAATTGACCCTTCCGTATTCACATCAAAAAAATGTATTCATGCCAAGACCTGATGTGGGTTGTAGTGCACTTGATGATGATTCATGCCAAAGCTGTAGCTTTAACCTAAGATATTTGCCTGTAACTGGTACAAACTGGCCTTTACTGCACAGGATATCATCCACATAATCTCTGTCTGCTATAAATCATCCCTGTATCATTAATTATTCTGTTATCATCTGGAATTCTAATTAGAACCATAGACATATATTTATAAATAGAATTTTATAAATCACTTATTCTAGTGTGAACTATGTACACTGTGGTACTGTAGTGTTACATATATGTTACGGAAGATACTAGACTGAAATTATACGTTACATTTAATCTAGTGTATAAACTAGTGTGTGTTTTCTGAGATATTTAAATTATTTACATGTTTTCTAATTTTATCAGATTTCTTAATATAACATACTTGGGTGGTGGAAACAACCACAGATACTAGAGACTAGAGCCACTTTAAGTAGTTCTGAATTAATGTATGATTATGGAACTTCCAAAAAATATGCCATCTGTGTTGTATTCTCCCCCCAAATGGCAGCAAAAGTGTTCACTTTGATAACTGATGAACAATTAATTTAGATAAATCTGTAGAATTGGAAGACTGTACAGTATGATTTATGGGTTCTGCCCAGAATGACTATAAAAATTAAAAGCTGTCCATGTGCACACTCATCCCTTTTAAGCCTAGAAAAGAACAGCTATTTTATGAGGAATATAAAAATCCATCCATCACTATTACTAAGGGGACTGAATTTACATATATGAAAGTATTTCACTTTCTTGGAGGGCAGAGTGCACTATGTGGTGCCATATTTTAAAAGGATAAAAGGGTGGTAATGGCAACTTTTACCAAACGTTTGTCAAGTATGGATTAGGATTTTGGGTTAAACAGTGGATGCAATTGCAAGTGGCAACAAGAAGCTCCGCATGCAGTTATAATTTAAACCAGAATTAATTTATGACAATAACCTTAAGTTACTTGACAAGCTAAGTCAAGACTCTTCAGATTTTGATTTTGGCCTTGAGTTATCTCCAATTTTAAAAGTAAAATGCATAACGTTCTTAATATTAGTATTAAACAAGCTTTGTAAGCAATACAGTGTTAAAACCGGCTTCCATAATGAGTACACCCATTTGTCATACCAGAACTTTTAAACTGAAAAAAATAATTAAACGTTACACCTAACAATACTTATACCTACCAGGCTACTCGCGCGAGCAGAATACAAGAACAGCTGGTAGTTTTAATTATAAGTGCTGCTGCCTGTGGGGTACGGAGCTTAACTAACACGTTCTGGCTATGGTGTTTTCTACTGGCGCCTCAATTGAACACCTGTTCGTGACATGCGCAAATTGAAATTAAGTCATTTCGACATCAAGTAGATCCCAGGGTTTCTTACAAGTTCTGGAGCATGTGTTCGAAAATAAAGTTTCTAAATGTAAAATATGTGTAATGTAGCTACTGAAATAACATACAAATACGTAAGAATAAACTGGCATACGTGTTAACAATAGAAAACAAACGCAGAAGGGTCATCTTACTTTTAGAATGATGTGTACTGCGTGATGTGCGCGCAGCTTCTAGACAGGAGTAGATGGGCGTGGATAGATACGTATTTAGCCGTCATGTTTAATCGTGAAAGAAAAGTGAGTGAGTGAGTGAGTGAGTGAGGTTAAAACAACTTTTATGGCATGGTTTAAAAATCATTTTATGATTGGCATAATGGTGGTTCACCTTTTTGGACAGTGGTGGTTAACCAATCAGTAGTGCATCTTTAGATGAGGAATAAGGTACTTTCATTGTTTTTGCATAAAAGAAATTGACAATAAATTAGAGGTTACAGAAAATGAAAGGGCATGTAATGTGCACCAAAACTGCAGAGCATTTGATTTTCATGTGTGCATAATAAATGTCAAATTATACCCTTATTGTCAGTAATGATTTAATAAACTAAACCAACTCTGTGGAACAGAGTCCTTAAGAAGTTAACAGTATGCTCAGTTGTAGTTATTTCATTTTCTTATGAAGCTTAACCTTCATTGGTCAGTACAACAGCCAATCACAATAAAGAGTTGGGTATAGCTTTCAGCCAAAGCTTTTAGTTGTAGCTTGACAGTGGTATAAGACATTTTTATCCTGAGAAGTTCAGTGCAGTGTGGTCTTATCATGTTTCCCTGTATAGCCAATGCGTCTCATCTAAGCCTTCTCACTTGGCTGTAAGGTAATAGTTGGCAAAATTTGTATGTTTGACTCTGTGCTGTGTGACCTGACTTGATCTGGCTGAGAAGCAGAAGGATACACTCAGCCCACCTTACACTCCTCATCTGTTGCATAGTGTTCTTCTGATTGGTTTTCATCCAAGCTTTATGAGAAAATGAAACTACAGTAGTCAAGAATTTCTCTACCTTTTGTGGAATCTGAAGATTCATTACTGTGTTGACATGGGGCTGCCACTGGACCCTGTCCTGAGCCATATGAGTCCAGTTTACTCCCTCCAAATCCATTTCTTGAAGATTAATTTAATTTATTGTCCGAAGATTGCTGTCTTCTGGGTTGTTGAGCCGTGTAATCTGGTAGATGTCCACCAACGTTCCAGACAGCAATCTTAAGTACTTTGTTTTATTCAGAGCTTGTACTGACAAAGGGAAACAAAAGAGGATTTATCTATGAAGTGCACTTATTGCTACTTTTTATATCAACAGGTATAACTTTCCATGTTTTGTGGCAGTAAGCTGTGAAAGAAGTATGTTGATGAAACTTGATGTGAAAAGGTGAGGTTTAACCTCAGAAAAAATGAGTAATACTCCACCATCATCACGACCTAAAATAGAAGTGGTTCGTCTTCCATCATATGAGCAAGCCAAACTTCGGCCACTGTTAGAAGGTGGAATTCAACTTCAGGCTCAATTCAAGCATGTTCGTTATGGGGATTATGTCAGTTACAGCAGTTTGGAAGATGGAAACAAGCAATATTTCAGGTATGAAACAAGAAAGAGAAACTTGTTATTAATGCTGGATATAATATTATATAAAAAATAAAATAAAAAACTCTTCAGAAGCCCCAAACCTGTTACCATATCTTAATATCCTCTCATTAATTTCATAGTCACATTAATTCCTATTTAAGTGAAATTATGACATTTCACTATGTTATATATAGACTTGTGTATTGTATTTATTCTAACACTGATTTAGTAAGCCAGTCCTTTCCTCTATGTTGTTTTGATTTTGGAATTATGAGGAAAGTTAGATAATAGTGACACCAGTGGACAGAAGTTGCTGAAAGTGCCCACAATCACTGAGAGTACTCTTCTGCAGAGTTTCAGAAAGGACACAGCCCTCCCAGAAACTTTATTTCACTAGGCTAGCATCCTGCAGTGTTTTATGATTACCTGTAACCACTTAAAATTCTGATCAGTCAACAATTGTAATAATTTGTGTCCAAGATTATTACCATTCAGTTTAAATTTAATGAAAATATCTCACATATTCTTTAACCAATTCCTAAATGTTGTACTGAAATGTGTCTAGAAATTCCGTGAAGTGTTACGAGGTCAAATGATGTGGCTCTCCCAACATCTGTTGGTTCAGTTTTTTCCCCTTGATTGAAGAGTGAAGTGGTCCTACCAAGATGCATCACATTGAATTCACTGACCATGTCCATGTGCAACTGCGCATTCCTGTATGTTAAAATAGCGGATTCTTTCTAAATAGTATGTGATGTATCTGCTCTGCTTGTTTGGTTTAATCTTATACATATGAAGGTGGCCCAGTATAAACATTTCCTGTCCTTTCACTTTCAAAGACTATCACTCAGAACCAGAAAAAATAAATAAATTTTGTCAACATGTACTAAACACAGGTATCGTTCAGCTTTCTGCAGTGACAGATACCCTCAACATTTAATTCAATTCCTTCTCATAATATGTCCCTGCCAGTTAGCTTTCCTTCGTGTAATCGCCTGCAGAATGTTTCTTTGCTCGTTGACTCTCCTCAATACTTCTTCGTTGGTCACTCGATCCGTCCACCTGATCTTCTCTATTCTTCTCCAACACCACATTTCGAAACTCTCCAGGTATTTCTGTTCCTTCTTCCTGAGTGTCCAAGTCTCTGCTCCATACAGCGCGACACTCCATATGTAACACTTCACTAGTTTCTTCTTCATCTCCAAGCCCAACTTGCTAGTGAGAAGTATCCTCTTCTTGACGAAAGCTGCCTTGGCCATGGCTATCCTTGCTTTTACTTCCTTGGTGCATAGGGCGTCCGTCGTGACTATGCTTCCGAAGTACTTGAAATGCTCCACATTCTCCATCTGTTGGTTTCCAATTACAACGTTCAATGGTTCTGCTCTCGGTGCTATCCTCATTACCTTTGATTTTTCAATGTTGATTTCCATTCCATACTCTCTACCTGTTTCCACTAAAATATTAAATATAAACATTAAGTGAAGAAAGTAAACTTAATCTGAGGAAAAACGAAGTCAGTTAGGTGAGTGACAGGATTTTGTTCCTGGTTAGATTTCATGACCGTGAGTGTAAGACTCCATTGACTACCAAGTCACTGGACAACATATTTGCAAGGCAGCTGACTTTCGGTGCAGAAGAACAACAAAGTCCCTTTCTTTGGCGGGATGCAACCCGCAGTGAGGAACAGCTGTATCATGCTCCACATGGATTTCCTGGAGCAGCATACCCAAAAAATAAAGCTTCTCGCTTCTCTGGTGCACGGTATGTAGAAGTTTCCTTATTTCTGTGTTTATACTTAGTTTTTGTGGAAAATAACTTGTATTAAACATGTCATTTGCATTTCATCTCATGAATGGATTCTTAATCAGTATCTGTGGTGTAGTGTATTTTCTCACTGCATGACTGCTTGTATGGCATCCAGTATTGTTCTTCTAATGGCACTGTTATTTTAACATATTTTACAAGTGGGAGACAATAAAATTATATATGCACAGTGTAATGACTATGATTTTATATATGTGTATAATGATTATGTGAGACTTATAGATCTCATGGTAGTGAAGATTTTGATTTTGGTCTTTTGGTATTTGACAATATGTAACCTTCTAGCTCGGTGGTCCCCAACGCGTTGCCCGTTGGCACCATGGCGCCCGTCAAGGAATTTTTTGGGTGCCCGTGTTGTTACGGAAAGAGGTTATACTGAATAATGAAGGCCGTTCAACAATGAACATTATAAAATCAAAGCACAGATCTTGACTTACTAACGCCCAGCTTGACGATTACTTGCGAGCAACAACATCATCCTACACTCCTAGATTTGAAAAACTGGCCGATGAAATGCAGCGCCAAACATCACACTAACTTCCCACTTGAGTAATAATAATTGTACTTATAAAAGTGCGTATTTTTCATTGCATGGTTTCTTGTATCATTAAACATTGTGTTGTTTTGTGTATAATTTGGTGTCCATATCTTATTTGTCCAGAGAAAAGAAAATTTGGCTTTATTAATTGGTTGGTGCCTGCCACGATCTCATAAACTCTCAAATGTGCCCGTAGGCACAAAAAGGTTGGGGACCACTGTTCTAGCTGGTTACCAGTATCACCATAGTTGGTGACCATCTAAAAGACTATGTCGTATGACAGCCCAGAAAATAACAATCAGGACGAATAATTACAAACCCTAATTAAAATAAAATATATTACTAAAATTCAAACATTTTAATGAAATGTGACCACACATAAAGCCTTCTCCAGTTACATTTCTTTTCACACTCCTTTGAAGAACTGCCAGAGGTCATACGTTCTTTCATGTGACATATGGAGTGTTAGATAATTTGATGTAAATTTTTAAAACAATTTTATTTCTGCTCAAAACATTCACCTCTATACATTATAATGAGTTATGTGGAACATATATAAACTCTTATAATATAGACAGAGTATTTTGGATTCAGAACAATTATATTCTATCAATTAACTTTAATATCACATTGTAGTTACAATTATAAGACAGACTAAAGTAATATGAAATTGACTAAACAACATTTATATTACATTACTGCTGTTCGTGGGACACACATCATCAGAAGTTATTGTGAAGATATCAGTCTTTTGGATTGTTGTGCCATGCAGTCTGGCAGAAGTTTACCAAGGCTTCAAAGGCCCTTGCTGCTTCCATCATTAGGGTGGTGAGTGCTAGACTGCATGGTGCTATAACCCAGAAGGCAGCCATGAAAATCTTAAATCCTCTTTAGAAGTTATTGTGTTTAAAATTTTGATAAATTAGTCAGTAGTAGCTTTTGTATCAAGTGCAAAATCTGTATAATGTCAAACAGATGTATTGTACATTATCTGACAATATTGTGTTAACTGTGCAAACTACCTAGTGTTGAATTTGTGTATGTTGTTGTTTTGCTTTGTCTGTTTCACAACTTACACAAAAGAATGTTAAATGAATGGTCACGAATACCATACAGTAATGTCTGATAATGATACATCCACTGCATTGTAAGCCTTTTTTTCATTCCTGTGGTATGAATTCACACTTTTAAACACCACTTCTATAGAATCTTATTGTAATTACTAATAACTACTTGTTAGCTGCTACATACTCATCAGATGTGAAACATACTACATTTATGTAAGACTTGAGGTTCTCACAGCGGTGAGTATGAAGATTTCTGTCTTCTGGGTTATTGCGCTGTGTAGTCTGGTCGATGTTAACCAACGTTTCAGAGGTCATACTGCCTCCATCATCAGAGTATGAAGATTTCTGTCTTCTGGGTTGTTGCGCTGTGTAGTCTGGTCGATGTTAACCAACGTTTCAGAGGTCATACT